CTCCCTCTCCTCTCCTCCCTCTCCTCTCTTCCCTCTCCTCCTCCCTCTCCTCTCCTCCCTCTCCTCTCCTCCCTCTCCTCTCCTCCCTCTCCTCTCCTCCCTCTCCTCTCCTCCCTCTCCTCTCCTCCCTCTCCTCTCTTCCCTCTCTTCTCCTCCCTCTCCCCTCCTCCCTCTCCTCTCCTCCCTCTCCTCTCCTCCCTGTCCTCCTCCTCCCTCTCCCCTCCTCCCTCTCCCCTCCTCCCTCTCCCCTCCTCCCTCTCCTCTCCTCCCTCTCCTCTCCTCCCTCTCCTCTCCTCCCTCTCCTCTCCTCCCTCTCCTCTCTTCCCTCTCCTCTCCTCCCTCTCCCCTCCTCCCTCTCCTCTCCTCCCTGTCCTCCTCCTCCCTCTCCCCTCCTCCCTCTCCTCTCCTCCCTCTCCTCTCCTCCCTGTCCTCCTCCTCCTTCTCCTCTCCTCCCTCTCCCCTCCTCCCTCTCCTCTCCTCCCCTCCTCCTCCTTCTCCTCTCCTCCCTCTCCTCTCCTCCCTCTCCTCTCCTCCCTCTCCCCTCCTCCCTCTCCTCTCCTCCCTCTCCCCTCCTCCCTCTCCTCTCCTCCCCTCCTCCTCCTTCTCCTCTCCTCCCTCTCCTCTCCTCCCTGTCCTCCTCCTCCCTGTCCCCCTCTTCCCTCTCCTCTCCTCCCTCTCCTCCTCCTCCCTGTCCTCCTCCTCCCTCTCCCCTCCTCCCTCTCCTCTCTTCCCTCTCCTCTCCTCCCTCTCCTCCTCCTCCCTGTCCTCCTCCTCCCTCTCCCCTCCTCCCTCTCCTCTCCTCCCTCTCCTCTCCTCCCCTCCTCCTCCTTCTCCTCTCCTCCCTCTCCTCTCCTCTCTCTCCTCTCCTCCCTCTCCTCCTCCTCCCTGTCCTCCTCCTCCCTCTCCCCTCCTCCCTCTCCTCTCCTCCCTCTCCTCTCCTCTCCTCCCCTCCTCCTCCTTCTCCTCTCCTCCCTCTCCTCTCCTCCCTCTCCTCCTCCTCCCTGTCCTCCTCCTCCCTCTCCCCTCCTCCCTCTCCTCTCCTCCCTCTCCTCTCCTCCCTCTCCTCTCCTCCCCTCCTCCTCCCTCTCCTCTCCTCCCTCTCCTCTCCTCCCTGTCCTCCTCCTCCCTGTCCCCCTCTTCCCTCTCCTCTCCTCCCTCTCCTCCTCCTCCCTGTCCTCCTCCTACCTCTCCCCTCCTCCCTCCCCTCCCCCTCCTCCTCCCCTCCTCCCTCCTCCTCCCTCTCCTCTTCCTCCCCTCTTCCCCCTCCTCTTCCTCCCTCTCCTCTCCTCCTCTCTGTCCTCCTCCCTCTCCCCCCTCCACTTCCCCCTCCTTCCTCTCCTCCTCCCTGTCCTCCTCCTCCCTCTCCTCTTCCCCCTCCTTCCCTTCCTCCTTCTCCTACTCTCTCTCCTCCCCCTCCTCCCTCTCCTCCCCTCCTCTTCCCCCTCCTTCCTCTCCTCTCTCTCCTCCTCCTCTCCTCCTCCCTCCTCCCTCCTGGCATGGGGAAATCCTTGAGAGCAGAGAGCTTGCTTTCAGCTGTGTCCCTGGGTGCGGCAGGGCTGGACACACAGCAGGTGCTTGGAACCTCTAATGAAGGATGGACAGACCTTGTGGAGTTGTGTAAATATCACCTGTGCTCCACACCTGTGTGCCGGCCCAGGTGGGCAAGTAGAGCTGGAAGGGACCTGGGCTCCAGCCAGGTCGGGGGACCCTATGTTTCTCCCAGGCCTGGGCCTGGTGGGGGAGCTGCCTCCTGGGCTGTGCCTCTTAGAAGGTTCTGGGCTTCTACCTTGGACCCTGGAGGTACCAGCTCCACACGGGGGACTGTACAGTGAACCCCCTGAAGAGCTTACACCAAGTGGCTCTTTCCTCTGACCCCAACCAAACCTCGAAGCTTGGGAAGGTCCCGCCCCGCAGGTGCCCGGCCCTCAGGGTTCCTTGTGCTCCTGACAGCTGCCCCAGCTGCTGCTCCTCTGCCCCGCCCCCAGCCCTCAGGCCCCAGAGCCTGGGAGCTCGGTGCAGAATGGCCCAGCCCATACACCTGTGCTGTCCCAGATGAGGCCACCATGGGACGCTGGAGGGTCAGGACCAAATGAGACCATTCTTAACCACATTTTCAGTCAGACAGCAACATGAGCATTGTCTAAGCCACAAATGTCCCCCACACCTGGCTGACACTAGTGACCCCAGCTGCTTCACCCACCACAGCTGAGCCCCATCCTGACAAGAGCCCAGCCTCCAGAAAGCCCTTCCCCACACTGGCCAGCCCCTGCCTTCCCTCTGACCACTGGATCTCGTGCAGCCAGCCGTGTGAGCTGACCTGTCCACCCCAGGGCTGCTCATGGCAGGCTCTGGGGAAGGGCTGTGGCTATGGGCAGCCTGTACCAGGCCACCAAGTGGCAGCCTCCTCCGTCAGACTCTCAAACTGAGAGGGAGAGAGCAGGAAAGAAGCAGGAGGCCGCTGATACGGCCAGCTGACCCAGCTGACGGCTCCCTGTCTCTGTGGTTTCCTGAGGACGCGGCCCAGCCAGCTGGCAGGGGAGGCGACCCACCACGCAGAGACTATCCTCCAGGCTGGCTGGAGGGGCGGGGGCCGTGCAGAGAGCGCCAGCCTCCGGCCCCCACCTTGCTCTGGCTCCAGTGCCAAGTCCTCTGCTCCGGCTCCCAGACGGGCCAAAATCCAGCTTCCTCGGTCTTCAGGGCTGGCCCAGGCCGTGGGCCCAGGGGACGCAGGGGACGAAGTTTCTGGTACAATCTGAGGGGCACTGACCACATGCCTCATCTGCCCCAGAGAAGCTGAGTTTGGGGTTGGGGGCAGATGGGGTCAGAGCCACCCGGGGAGCTGCCAGGCCTGGGAGTCAATGGGGCCACATGGAGTGACAAAGACTATAATACTGAATAGGTCCCCCTTGTCCTCCTGGGGTTCAGTAGAATCCCCCACAAAGAGCACTTTCCAGGCGTGGGACTCCCCAGCTCCTCTGGCCGTCTTTGGTCAGGTGCTGGGAGCACGGTGCTGCCTGCGAGGACCTTGGCCACCACAGCGGAGTCTGAGAGGGGGCCCTGGGCAGGAGCCAGCCTGCGGGCCACGTGGGCCAGATTCAGCTTCCTGGGACCCTCCCCTTGGGGCAAGTCACCGCTCCCCATGGGAACAGCTCTGGCTGGGCAACCGCTCCTCCCCCACCATGTGCACCCCGAGAACCTGGCAGGCAGCCCCTGCCTCAGCCACACCCCCCAAGCCAGGGACCGGGATCACCCTGAGGCAGGCAGCCTGGCAGTGCCGCCACCAGCTGTCTCCAGGCACTGCTCCTAGGACAGGCCTGGCCTCTGCAGGAAACCAGGAGCTTGCCTTAAAGTAACTGGGCGTCCTCAGGTGGACGTCCTGCAGCCCCACCCACTTCAGCTTCCAGGGCCTCCCTCCATCCAATCCGAGCCAGGCCCCGGGTGGCGTTTTGCAGATTCCTTGGGTTTTTCACATGGACAGTGGTGCAGTGGGCACAGAGACTGGTGGGACCCCAGGACGCAGCTGATTGGAGGTGGGGCGGGCTGACGTTCGGGTCTTGTTCCCCGTCCTCTGGGGGAGTCTTGGTGTCCCACCTTCACTGTGACGTGAGCTTTGAATTTTCGTGGGGTTTCTTTACCAGTGGTGCTGGGGATGGCACCCAGGGCCTTGTGCCTGCCAGGCAGGCACCCTACCCACTGAGCTACCTCCCAGCCCCCCTTCTGTTCTTAATTTGCTGAAAGATTAAAAACAATTTTTTGCATCTATTGAAATCATATTTTTGAATTCTTCATTCTATGAATGGAATGAACCTCACTAATTGGTTCTGAATTTGAACCAACCTGGCGTTCCTGGGGAAAGCCACTGGTCAGGATCTGTCACCTTCTGGTGACCTTGCTGGATTCCAGAGGCTACAGTTGGGTGGACGCTCACAGCCACGTTCATGGGGAACGCTGTCCCCTTTCCTCCTCCCTCCCTCCCTCCCTCCTTCCACTCTTTCCTTTAGTTTCAATATCATGGTGATTCTGGCCAAGAAATTGGGATGTGTCCCACCCCCTTTACTTTCTGACGAGGTTTCCATGAGACCCGTGTTATTTCTTCCTTAAATGTTTGGTAGAATTCACCAGCCAGGGCATCAGAATCTGGGATTTTCTTTGTGTGGAACTTTTAATTACAAATTCAAACGTCTTTAGTAGGTATGAGACACTTTAGATTTTCTGGGGTTCTTTCTTTCTTTTTTCCCCCCCTCTGTCAGATTTGGTAAATAATGTTTTTCAAGGAATTTATCAGTTTCATGAAAATTGTCGGGTGCATTGGTGTGGAGTTTTTCATAACGTCCCCTTGAGTTTCAGTGTCTGTAGGACCTGTAATGATGTCCCCTCTTTCTTGCCTGGTACTGGTCATTTGTGTTCTCTCTCTTTTTCTCCCTCTCTGGTTAGTCTTACTAGGGAATTAGCTATTTGGCTAAATTTTTCAAAGAGCCAAATAACCAGCTCTTGGTTTTGTTGATCTTTTTAAAACATCATTTTCCTTGTGGGGAGCCACTGCAAATGCACGCACCTTTAAGTCCTGACGCATCACGGGGATCTGAAGGATCACTGTAGTCTGGGGCTTCTCCCTCATTTGGATAATCAGGTATGGCCCTGGGGGTGGCCCTGGGAGTAGCCGGCACCCAGAGAGGTCGAGCTGCACTCACCTGTTCCCTTGTAATCCTATCCCTGGCCTCATTTGAATGGCTTCTTCCCATTAAAAGGGTTCAGCATGTGCCCCCCTCTCTTTCTACAGACCCCTAAGGTCAGACGAGCCGTCACAGGACCCAAAGAAAAAGGTATTTCTCTGTCTCTGTGTGGTTGTTTCATGGAGTGACCTGAGTGTCTAGTCATGGACCACGACATTTCCTATCTTTGCTATAAGAAACTCAAAGCAATACAAATTTATTGTCTCTTGGTCCCGAAGGTGGGAGTCTGACCTGGCCCCCGGCTTTGGGTGTCAAGATGAGGCAAATCAACCACCTGATGGGATTAAGTGAGGGATAACTGAAGGCAGGTGGGTGTGGCTGGAGGAGTGGGGCTTTGGGGTGTATGTTTACATTGGGCAAGTGGAGATCTCTCCCTCTCTCTCTTTTCAATTAATCCCCAGGGTCCTGGTTAACCCCTGACTTATTTGGGCCATGAACGATGGTCCATTATCAGATCCTATTACCTTAGGCACGCCGCATCTTGGAAAAATATCTTTTAGGATCTTTTTGACCACCATTTGTGTCGTTTCTTTTGTTTTGTGGGGAAGGCTTCAATCCATCCTGAAAATGTATCGTCCTGGAGAAAGCTGCTGCCATCAGTGATCCATATGACCTTAGGGTGGGGCAGTGGCTGATCTTTGAAATCCCGTCGTATACTGGTTTCTTCTGCCAGTATATGTTGACAGTCATGAGTGACGGGTTCTGATGATTGTTCAGGTAGTAGTGTAGCCGGGTTAAGCGGGGCGGGGGGGTCCCAGTATTATTCTGTCCTTGTCAAGCAACAGGCTCTGATAGTGTGTTATTCTAGAGTTTGATAGCCATCTGTCTGGTGGCTGGCGGATGATGCTCTCTAGGGCATGGGGGGCTATAACGGTTAGCTTCTGCCCCAGCGTTAACTTATCAGCATCCTTGATTAGTAGGGCCGCCGCTGTTATAGTTTTTAGGCAATGGGGCCATCCATTAGCCATTGGGTCCAGCTTTTTAGATAAGTAGGCTATAGGCCTTCTCCAAGGTCCTAGAGTCTAAGTGAGCAGGTCAGTTAAGACTTTTCTGTGGGCCTGGTACAGAGGGGGAAGACGGGGAAGGCGGTGCTGAGAGCAGCTCCGTGGATCTGAGAATGAGGAAGGAGAGATGTAAAAGAATAATGGGAAAGGGCTTTGGGATTTTTTTTAGCAACAAAAACTTGAGTAGTAGAAGAGGTAGAGCAGAGGGGAAGACTGGAGTGAGTATCTTAAAAAGCCTGTGAGGGACTTTAAATTTTTAGTAACCTGTTTTTAGTGATGACAAAGTAACTTTAGAGGCCATTTTTATTACATCTTGAATAGGGGTCTGAGGGCTCTCCTCAGCTGGTTTGAGCTTTGGGTTAGCTGGTAAGAGGACCTGGTGGGACCCAGTGTGGGCATTGACAGGAGAAGAGAGGAGTGAGTGGGTGGAGGGGTACCTCAGTACCTGTTATTTTAGCAAGGGGGCAATGGTCTGAGAACCGGTGGAGGTTTGGGTTCCACCAGGTAGCCCCTGTATGCTCACAGCCCTATGACTTACAGAAGAAGCCGGCTTTTCCCCCACACAGCCGTGACTGTTTGTGGCTTCGATAGTCTGTTTGGCAAACATAGTAATCTAGGCTAGCCAACCTGCATCCGGCTCTCGCGTCCCTACGTCCATAATGTTTGTTTTTATTATCTATGGTACGGAAGGGATCTAATGGAATTAAATCTCTCTCTGTCTCTGCTTCCTGATCACCATGTGAGCTGCTTCCCTGTGCCACACTCTTCCGCAGAGAAGAGATTTAGAGGTTTGATTTTTTTCATGAAATTCCTCCAACTGTTATCCACAGTGTCATTTGGGGGGTACAGTAAAGAGTTCAGTGTGTTTGTAGGAGTCATTTTAAGGTCCCTGTAGGATGATCTCGGTCTGGTCACGTGTGGGTCTATTTCTATCGCCTGTTTCTTCTCCTGGTCGAGGTCGCGGTTCCCTGCTGTCTGTCGGCTCCTAACTCATGGCTGCACTCCCAGGGAAACGCGGAGTGTGGCCATCGCTCAGGGTCCCTGTTATTCATTAAGGAAGGGTGTAACACCCACTTTCAGCCACTGCCTCCTTGGATCGGGCTCCCCTCCAGCCAGCCGGCCCTCCCGTCCAGGGCCACTTCCAGGGCAGGGGCTGAGCTCTTCCCTGGGTCCAGGGGGATGGGAGGACCGAGCACGGGCTGCTCAGGTCAACACAATTCACCTTCAGACTCGGCTCAGCAGATTCCTGGAATCCAAGCACCATGAACCTCCTGAACTGTGCTGGACCCTCCTCTCCCCATTCCCATGTGGCTTTTCAGCAAAAGCTGGGGGTAGGTTGGTAAGGGGGGCTCATGGGCTGAGCACTTTGGCTTTACCCTCGGGGCTCTCCTGGGCCACGGCCCCCACCCAGCCCCCCAGCAGCAGCCCTGCAAATCCTCTTCACCCTCTGCTCCTGCCTCCTGCACAGGCCCAGCACGTACCCCAGAAATGGCAGTTGCTGGGGCTGTCTGGTCAGCCCTCCCTGGAGCCCGCTGACCCGGCTTCCTCACGCCCACTTCTCTGAACAGCTCTGGGAACCTGCCATTTAATCCCTATCCATATTTTCCTTCTGTGTCCTACCTGGGGGAGACATTTCTCACCAGCGTTTACAGCATGGCCAGCTCTCAGCCCCAGGCCTCTGCCTTGACTCAGTCCAGTTCACATTCTTTCCAGAACCTTCCTTATCTCCTCACGCCCCTTCTCTTTCCAACCTCAACTCCTCCGGGCGCCATCCCTCCCAAGCTCAAGGTCTATCGGCCACTTACATTGCCCCCAGCATAAAGCCTGCCTCTGTGACTGGCCTGTAAGGCCCCCTTATACCTGGTGCTGGCATGCCTTGGTGACTGTCCCATCCCACCACCAGCCCCAGGACAGTCCTGTATTACCTCAGGCCATCGCCCACCTCTGTGTCCTCTCTTCCTGCTGCCTGCAGGGATTTCTCAACCCCATGTCAGGAGCAAAAGGACTGGTGGGACAGGAAACCACATTTCTCTTCATCATGCGGCAAACTGGCTCAGAATTATGCTGTGACCTGTTTCCTCCTGCAATTGTGGGGGGCTCCGGTTGTCTTCATGTTTATGGTGTATGTCGATGCTACAGACTCTTGTCCCAGAAAATTGGATTCCAGGCGCACTTTCTGAAAAAAGAATAAGTGAGTGCAAAAACAAAATCAAGCCAACAACCAGCTCAAACCCCAAATCAAACTCGAGACAAGGATAATCTTCTCAGCACGTCTTCTGTGCTTATTGATGGATGTGTTGGTCCCAACACTCACCTGTAAACAGCCCCTGTGAGGAGCGAGGGCAGCCTGAGTGTTCCCTTTTTTGCTTTAGATTTTCATTTTCTTTTGCAATACCCCTGCCTCTGCTATATCTCAGACAAGAGAGCAGGACGAGGCAGGTCAGCTCCGGGAAGGGGCTTACAGAGCGATACACCTCACCCAGGACGTTAGTACACATGTAGATCCTCTATCAGAAGGTTGGGGGTGGATCTGATGTGCTCTTGGAGTATGAGAAGTATCTGGGCTTAAACTCAGCCAGATCTACACAGGACACATTCCCAGGTTAAATGATACAGTTTTTGAAGGATAAACTCATGACTCGCCAGTGCCAAAAAATGAATCTGTAACAAAGATTTCTTTTAAAATTCATCAATTGATGAGGGGACCAGTAAGATGTTACAGTCCCTTAAAAGGAAGAGCCAAGGAACAGACACTTATATAAGCAACTAGGGAAGCTGAAATGAACCTGTTCAGAGATGCAAAACTGCCTCTTTCCATGGAGGAGAGAGCCCTTTCCCTTCCACTAGAGGAAATTCATTTGAGCCTCTATGGATAGAATCTTTGCTGAATTATGAGTTTCCTGCAACTTACCAAGTTGTAGAATTGCTCAAGGCAATGAAAAGCATAAATGCTTACAGACTCCGCTAATGTGCTAGAGTGCCTTTGCTCCTTTCAAAGGGTGTTCTGAGCCAGCCTTCCTTCCCTCCTTCCCTCCTTCCCTCCTTCCCTCCCTCCCTCCCTCCCTCCCTCCTTCCCTCCTTCCTTCCCTCCTTCCTTCCTTCCCTCCTTCTTCCCTCCCCCTTCCTTCCTTCCCTCCTTCCTTCCTTCCCTCCTCTTCCCTCCCTCCTTCCCTCCATCCCTCCTTCCTTCCTTCCCTCCATCCCTCCTTCCCTCCTTCCCTCCCTCCCTCCTTCCCTCCCTCCCTCCCTCCTTCCCTCCTTCCTTCCTTCCCTCCTTCTTCCCTCCCCCTTCCTTCCTTCCCTCCTTCCTTCCTTCCCTCCTCTTCCCTCCCTCCTTCCCTCCATCCCTCCTTCCTTCCTTCCCTCCCTCCCTCCTTCCCTCCTTCCTTCCTTCCCTCCTTCTTCCCTCCCCCTTCCTTCCTTCCCTCCTTCCTTCCTTCCTTCCTTCCTCTTTTTACCTGCATGGTCACATTCCAGCTGCAGACCTGACTCTCTGAGCTCTGGGCTCCTTACATATAAATAAACTAATGTAATGTCCTCTGAACATTTGCCACCAGGATTGAATTGTGCCGTGACCACAGAGCCTTGGCAGGTGCATAGGGCATAAACGTGCTGGCTGAGCAGAACAGCAGGCCCTGACCTGGCACAAGTGTCCTGTCAACACGTGGTATTGCACCTGCTGGTCTGGGGAGTAGAACAGAGAAAGCCCTGCCCTGGCAGTTGAGTAGGGGGCCATGTTTCAGCGGGCTTTCTAAGACCACATGTTGGCCTGATGGCACTTGAGACTATGATGGAAACCTGCTGATGTGGATGTGAGGCCTGGGAGCTACGATGGGGTTAAGTTTTCTGCAGGCAGAGAGGGGACAAGGGTGGAGGTGGTCAGAGGCTGCTGCTTGTTAAACATGTGCTCTGTGCATCCACCATGTAGGCTGTGCCCCTGGTTGGCCTCAGCCACGCTCCAGTTCTCTGTGTCCAACAGCTGAGCCCACCCTGTGATCTCTCTGTCTTCTGATCTGACCCTACTTTGGTAGAAACTGGTGACCTACACAGAAGGCAGCTCTCAGGGGGGGCAGGAGTTCGCACTGACCAACTGCTTCCAACTTGCTCTTGGCCTTGACAAGCCCTTCACCCGCTATCCAATGTCAGCTGTAGGGTGGGGCCTAGATATTCCACCTTTTTTTAAAAAATACATCTTTTTATGTGGTGTTAAGAATAGAACCCAGTGCTTTACATGTGCTAGGTAAGTGCTCCACCACGGAGCCACTACCCAGCCTGATATTCCAGCTTTTTAAGTTTTTAAATATGTGCTTCCCTTTTTCCAAACCATCTTGGGTGGAAGTCCATTATGGGGCAATGATAGATCGTATTAGAATCTCCCTTATGGGGGTGGGGATGGCATGATGAGCCATTCGCAGCAAGGGTGAGGTCCCCAAAAGACAAGATAAAGTCATAATAGACAGAGAGGGGGAGGACAGCACACCGCTGAGGCTTCAGTCCTGATGTGTGGTCACTGGGAGTGTTGGGGAGGACGCTCCACAGCCTTCCCGGTTTCTGTGTCAGTTGTGAACGAGGCCCCAGTTGCCCTTTGACCTAGACTGTCTTTTCAAGGATTTTGTATAATGATGAACTCTGTTTCTAGGGCTGCAATAGTAAATGACCACAAACCAGGGGCTTCAAACAACAGGAACGCATCATGGTTCTGGAGGCCAGAAGTCTGAGGTGGAGGAGTGGTCAGGGCCATGCTCTGATGGCCCCAAGGGAGGATCCGTCCTGGTCTCTTCCAGCCTCTGCAGTCCTTGAGCTGCCTGGGTGTGCTGCAGTGTTACTCCAACCGCTGCCTCCATTGTCACGTGACCTCTTTCTTCTCTGTCCATTTCCCCTCTCATAATGGCGGCAGCCATATTGAATTAAGGACCCCCCGCCCCTGCCCCGTCATGCATCTTGATTTGATGTTATATCTGCAAAGACTCGGTTTCCAAACAAAGGCAACATTCATAGGTTCCAGATGGATGGAAGGCTCTGGAGGGTGCTAGTCGGTATGCTACAATGGAACAGCCTGGAAATTGAGAGCCACTCTCCCTCCACAGCAAATGGCAGGAACTCTTGCTGCCTACTGTAAGAGTTCAGGCTCCCTCAGTTCAGGGTTCCTCTCTTGTCTGCAGTACAAGGTCCCGCCTGGCCCTGGTTATGTTGCCCTCGGGACACTGACGTGCAAAAATGGTCGTGTTTTGATTCCTGTCACGAGTCATTAACTGTCCTTTGTGTCTGCCCCAGGAGCCTCATGGCGTCTGTCGGCATTTGTGGAACGGTGGCAGGCTCACCTGGTAGCTTGCAAGACACTTCACAGTCCGTAGTGGGTACAGGACGCACAGCTGAGCAAATGGCTCATGAGGACAAGGGTGTGAGGATTATGGGGCTGGAAGCTAGAGAGGAAAGAGCAGAGGCAGAAAGCCTGTCACTGGGGAGGAAAACGGTGTCCGGGCGAGGCTCTGCCAAGGAAGGGATGGGGAGGGCGCTGGGGACGGGTGCAGTATGGGGTGGGCTGGGTGGTGGCCAGGCAAAGTCCCTGCCAGGGCCAGCAATAAAGCCTTAGTGAGACTCTCCACTCTTCATGCAGGTGAGCTGGGGTGGGGAGGAGGGTGGGGTGGGGAGGAGGGAGGGCTGGGATCTGCCTCCAGGTGTGTGTGGGCGTCGGGGGAAGCCCAGGGAGACCACCAAGCTGGAGGCCTAGGGAAGGCTGGCGTCCTCCCTATGTCTCATGAGTAGGAGAAGTTGTCCTGCACTCAGATGGACCTCAGAGCCCTCTGCTCCCTTCCCCAGCCCTGGACTTCAGAGCTCCAGGGGCCATGATTTAGAGGCACATGGACCTCGTGGCCTCCTTCTGACCCTGCTGTTTTGGGTTTTCCTTTAAACCTCATTGGGGCAGAAAGGATGCCTGCTCTGGAGCCAGTCCTACCAGAGCCCTCCCCTCCCCTCTCACCGGCTCCACAGAGCTGCTGTCTGGGGAGACCGGCTGGTGGACGTGACTTACTCTGGCAAATGTTCAAGGCGCAGATAGAACAGTCACACAGGAGTGAGCCCTTTGCAAAGAACAAGTGTTTCACGGTCAGGAGCCTCGAGCTCTGGTGCTGCCTCTGCGAACCTCAGTCACCACATCTGGGAAATGGGAGCACAGAAGCTGCAGGGTTCACGGATGGAAGCTGGGTGCCCAGCAGATGGAGGCCCCTGGCCATGGGCCCGCAGCCAGGAGGCAGCACCTGGGCCCGAGGGCTGACTGGTGTCCTCTGGGTCTCCAGGCTGGCTGACCTCTGTGGGCCTCGCTCGTCCTGGCTGTAACATGGGACGACAGTCCCGCCCACAGGCCCGGAGCCCTCGCGAGGTGCCAGGTTTGCATGAGGAGCCGCGCGCTTGGCCCTGGCCCCGTCCAGCAGCCTCTTCTCAGGCCCCGCCTCCTCCCCAGAGCGTCCTCTCTCCCTGACCTGACTCAACTGTGGCCTGGGCCAGTGATTCAGGAAGGAGGAGGGTCCTGCAGTGACCGTTTTGATTGGAGCTTGTTGAAAGGATCAGCGTGGAGTCGTAAGCAGCCGGAGGCGGGGAAGTGCTTTCTTGGAAGCCAGGCAAGGAGGCAGAGTGGGACCCGGCCCTTGTGGGGGGCAGATTCTTGCCTGCACAGGGGGGCGGGTCTCGGATCTCCTGTTCTGAGGCCCCAGGGAGCTGGGGTTTGGGTGCATCCCTCAGCATCTGGTCCCCAGTCTCCTCATCCGTTGGGTGGGCATAAGGACTACTCGGCAGGCTGCTGAGACCACGCAAGGTCATGAGAGCAAAGCTCCTGTCTGCACAGTGCCCGGTCCCCCTGGTCAACGGCTCAGCGCTCATCACTGGTGTCCAGTGCCTGGAGGGCCTCAGGTACCTGCCCCAGGGCTGTTTGGAGGACTTGGGGCTCTGGGCTCTGTGTGCCCCCTGTCCACAGGGCCTCTGCATGCCCCCTTTGCTACCTTCCTCCCCTTTGAGGTCCCTCCCTGGCTCCTTGGTGGCTGGGCAGCGTGACTGCTTCTGCAGATGGAGGGCTCACTCTCCCAGAGGACACTGGCTCTTGTGGGTTGGGTCAAAGAGCTTCCCCACACCCGGGCCTCATCTGGCCTAGAGGGGTGGCTCCCCACAGCACCGATGCCTCAGTTTGGGACAGGCGGGAAGGTGGATCCAGGATACACAGGACTTGGCTAGGAAGAGACCCTGGCAGCTCTGCCTCCATTTCTTTGAAAGCTGGACTTGGCATACAGACTGTCCACCCTCTTCCTCCTGGAGATCTCCCTCTTGCCCTCTGGGCCAGCCGCAAGTGCACAGCCCACCCAGGACCTCTCCTGCCCTCTGTACCCACCGTCTGCCACCTCACTGTGGCCCTGGCTGTTTGAGCAGACGGTGGTGGCTGGGAACAGATGGTGGTTCCTGGCCACGTGTCCCCGGGGTTGGGAGGCGACAGCTGACCTGGAGGGCTGACTGTGTTCTCTGGGTCTCCAGGAGGCCCGGCCTCTCTGAGCCTCACTGTCCTTAGCTATGAAATGGGACAACCTGGCACTGGATGTGAGGGTGGGGACCCTGCCCTGTTCTCATTCACTCATTTGCCGGACTTTGTTGATTGTCCAGGTATTGACCATGGTCCCCCTTGGCAGGCGAGCGGAGCTGACTCTGCTCCAGGTCCTGCACCCCAGTCACCCCAGTTTTAGAGGAAAATTTCATTAGCCTGTTGCATTCCGCTGGGACCCCTGGTCTCTAACCTGAGCCTCTGGGTCAGGACTCACATTCCTGCTCCACAGGAGAGGACACAGGGCTAGCTGCAGCAGTGGCCCCCACCCCCAGCTCCCACGAAAGGACAGGCTGTGGAGGTGACCGGCTGTGACTTCCCACAGCTGCATCCCGTGCTGGCTGCCTGTGGAACTCACCCTGCGACCTGCAGGACAGGCCCTGTGCCCATTTCCCAGCTGACCCTACCCCGAGGCCCAGGAGCCCTTTGTGTGTGGTCCTGGGGGACGTCCTGGCCTCCCTGCCGGCTGCTGTGGAGCCCTGGGTGAGCTAGAGACTGGGCACCCAGACCCTGGCTCTGCCCCTGCTGTGGCTCGGGTGGCCCTGGATGGGCCCTGGTCCTCGCTGGGCTTCTGGTTGCCGTGGCCAGCAAGGGCCTGGGACAGAGTCACTCCCTGCTCACAGTCTGTGATGCCAGCCTCCTGGCACAGCTAGTGACCAGTCAGAGCTCAGGAAGTGCCTCTTGCATGGCGCGTTCCCAGCGTTGTCTCCAGAGCCAACAGGAACTTGGCGACGGGGCCGTGTGACTGAGCTCCCGTCCCCAGGCCCAGCCCTGCCCTCAGCCTGTGCGGACAGCAGGGGTGTTGAGCCAGCCAAGGGGCGAGTGCAGGGACGAGCCGCGGCCACCCTGCGACCCCTGCTCCCAGCCGGAGCCGGGGAAGCTCCCGACAGGTCCCTGCTGGCCTGCTGCACAACGGCCCTTGCCCTCCCCCCGAGTGGCGTCCCAGCCCATCTGGAAGCAAAGTTGGGTGTCCCCGATGAGGCCTTGGCCTCCCCAGGACACGTGGACCTGGCCACGACCCGAGGCCTCCCAGCCTCCAAGTGCGTGGCTGTGGAGGGGAGTGAAAGGTTCCCTCGTTAACTGGAAACTCCTGCTGCCTAACGAGGGAGAAGCGAGTGCTGACGAGGTCCAGAGCCCAGGTGTCTGTCTGCTGCCGTCCCAGGAGGAGGCAGGGGCTCGCCCAGGGAGAGCATGGGCTTCTGAGTGCCCTGCCCACAGGCTGGCTGGGCACACAGGCTGTGAGCCAGGGTGACATGGGGGCCAGTCACCAACTGCCCACTGTCCACGTGTCATCTGTTGTGACCCTTGTGTCCCCATTTATAGATGAGGAAGCCACTGGCCAAAGTCCAGGGGCTGGGGCTGGGGTTCAGTTTGGGGCCCCAGGACTGAACAGCACTCCAGCCCCAGCCAAGCTTGGAGGTTACCATCCAGAGGTGGCAGGAACCCTGCCAAGGGACACAGGGACAACGGCTTATCCTGTGGGCAGAGAGATGCCCCAGCTCCCAAGTCTACAGCATCAGGAAGGTGCAGATAGGACGGCAGGCCCTGAGGTCGGACGCCTCTGGTGGGGGCGCGATTCCCCCACTTGGGGAGGCTGGCAAGGCCTCACACCCCAGGAGGGACCGGCTGACCGACCCCTGCTCTGGGAACCCACAAGAAGGGTCTTGTGACATTTAGGAAAATGTGCAGAGCATTGTTTGGAGTAGCAGAAGCTGTGCATTGTCGAAGGTGCATTGGGGGACCAGCAAACACCCCGTCTCTGGAGTGTGACCAAGCCGCAGCAGGAGACACCCACCAAGCTTTAGACGAAATGCCTCTGGGATCACATCAACTAAAAAATATATATATTCAAAATACCAGATGATGTGAATGCAGAGGGCCAAACGGCGCAGCCAGGTGCTGCCCGGGTCACCCTGGATTGCTGCCTGTGGAACGTTTTCTGGTTTTGCTTTTGTTTTTTGGTTTTCCAAATATCCAGTCACGTGTCCTATTTTTACAGTGGAAGGAACACGTGAGTGCATCTCCCCGGGGGCCCAGCGCAGCCTCACGCAGGATTAAAAGAACCGTCCATAAAAGAACCATTAAAAGGATCATCTTGAGCCACATCTAGAACACCTGGGAACTGAGTCCGTCTCCACTGCGGTCTCTCGGGCGAACGCTCCCTGGTGTGGGTGGACGGACAAAGCCGCAGCTTAGCAGGGAATCATCTCCTCATGGCTCCCGTGCTCACAGTCTGCACCCACCGCGGAGCCCTGAGACTCTTCTGTCCCCTGCTCCCAGCTCCTCCCCACCCCCGCCGCCCGCTGCTCTGGGCCCTGGGCTCCCCCCGCCCAGAGCTGTCTTCTGGCTTCTGTCTCCTGTGGTCCCACAGCCTCTCCGGCTCCCCACACCCTCCACCAGGGTGGTACGTTGTCCCCGAGGGAAGACCTACATTGACACTCACTGTCACCCCGAGGCTGCGCCTGTTGGTGCTCTGCCCCAGGCCGGGCCGCCCCTGCTCACTCAGTGTCCCTGGCGCCCTGCAGCTGGAGTCGTGACCGCACCATTTCCAAATTGGCTTCTTTCCTTTTGTGACGTCCACTTGAGGTCCCTCCCCAGGTGTCTGTGGCTCCACAGCCCGTTTATTGCCAGCCCTGACTGCTATTCCACGGCTGGACGTGCCCCAGGTCATCCATCCGCTGGCTCGGGGACATCTTGGTGAATCCCGCCTTTGGCCAATCACAGAGAAAGCGGCTCTGAACGTCCACACGCGGGTTTTCGTGAGGACTTGGGTTTTCAGCCACTCTGGGTAAACCCCAAGGTCCAGCTGCCCCGTTGTGTGGCGAGAGCATTTTCAGCTGTGGGAGAAGCCACCGAGCCACCCACTGTGGCCGGGCCACCTCGCATTCGCACCAGCAAGTGCCGCACCTTGCTGTAGCTCCCGCCCGCCAGCCCTTGGTGCAGTCTCTGTGCGGGCTGCGCCCTTCTCCCCCACTGGCCTCCAGGGTTCCAGGCTCAAAACCGCCTCCTCTGAGAGGTCCTCCCCAGGCTCTGGGGAGGGGACGACCTTGTGACACCCTATTTGGTGGCTGGCTGGTCCTCTGCGCACGGCTCCAGTCTCCTTCCTCAAGGTGCCGGAGGTGTAGGGCGCGGGGCTCAGCACAGCTCTGCGGGTGAGCGGGGAGCAAACCAAGTGGTGACCTTTGACCACTGACGAGGGGTCCCCCGGGGGACAGCGATGCTGGCAGGGCAGCCTTAAAGGACTCTGGCGTTTGTGGAGGAGTGAGTGGGCTCCAGGTCGAGGGATTCAGCTCCAGAAAGAGCCCCTCGCTGCCTTCTGTGAAGTGGGCACCGCCAACCCTGTCTCCTGCTCCAGCAATGGTGGTGGGTCCCCTCAGAACAGGCTGGTGGCTGTGGGTGACAGCCAACATACCGTGTGTGTGCACGTGTGTGCGTGCTGTGCATCACCAGGTCCACCCTGAGCTGTGTCTGTCTTCTCTCCTGCCTCTGCCTTTCGAGTCCTTACCTTCCCCTGGCTCAGTAGAGAGGCCCAGCCTGGGCCCTCCCTCTGTCCCTCTCCCCAGGCTGGGGACCTTGGTACCACTTGGATTGGGGCAGGGTTGGCCTGTCTGCTCTGGGGTATCCCCTGGGCCTTGCTCTCACGGCCTGAGCCTCCAGCCAGGGAGGCAGGGCTGGGCTGTGAAATCTGGAGCAGAGACCAGCACCGACTCACCCTCTAACTCAGCCAATCTGGCCTGGCCACCCTCTCACAAGTCTTGGTCAGTCTGTAGCCATTTAGGTCAGCAGGAACAGAGGGGACACAGGAGTCAATGGTAGACATTTCCCTGGCCCCAAATAAGGGGCACTGACTTTCTAGGCTCCTGCAATCCATTCGTCCACCCATTCATGCTCCACCCATCCATCCACAATCATTCATCTGCTATCCTTCCACCTGTCAGAGGTCCACTCATTCCTCCCCATCCATCCTCCACCTACCCATCCATCCTCCACCCATCCACCCACCCATCCACTCACCCAATCATCCATCCATCTCTTCATCCATAATCCACCCACTCATCCTTCCATCCACTCACCCATCCATCCATCCGTCTATCCATCCACCCACCCCTCATTCACCCATGTCCATCCATCCATTCATCCACCCATCCATTTCCACCCATCCATCCATCAATCCATCCATCCATTCAACCGTCCACCCATCCACCCACCCACCCATGCATCCACCCATCTACCCACCCATTCATCCACTCATCCACTTAGGCATCCACCCACCCACCCACCCATCCATCCACTTGTCCATCCACCCATCATCCATCCACCCATCTACCCACCATCCATCATCCACCCATGCATCCACTCATCCACCCACCCACCTACCCATCCATCCATCCATCCATCTACCCATCCACCCACCTGTCCATTCATCCATCCATCATCCATCCATACATCCACCCATCCACCCAGGCATCCACCCATCCATCCATCCACCAGTCCATCCATCCATCCACCCACCCATTCATCCATTGTCCATCCATCCATCCATCCATCCATGCATCCATCCACCCACCCATCATCCACCCATCCATCCATCCACCCATCCATCATCCACCCATGCATTATCCTCTGTCCAACTGTCCACTCCTGCTGTTTGTCTGATGTCTGCTTTGAGGGCCCTCCTGGCCGTGGACCCAGGGGCTGCCTGTCTGGTCCCTGACTTGGTAGGGCTCATGACAGGCTGGGAGAACAGAGGTAGATGGAGAGCATGGGCCCTCATGCCAGGGGAGATGTGCTGTAACGGGGGCACCCAGTGTGGGTGGAATGTGACCTCCTGTGCTTCCTGGGGTGCTGGAGGATGTGGTCAGAGGTTCAGAGTGGGGACAAGGTGAGAGACCCAAGAGCCGCTGGGGCAGGTCTCAAACACAGCTAAGGAACCTGCAGCCTGTAACAAGCGTCAAATCCCGCACCACGACACTGGCCCTCCCACAGCGTGCGGAGTGCTCAGGGTGTTCGCGAGGCTGTACAAGTGCTAACGCGAGCTAGTCGCCCCCCATACAGCCCCCATACAGCCCGTGTCTGCCGGCAGCCGCGCCCCTGTCCCTCCACGGCACCTGGGCACGCCAACCTGCTTCCCGCATCTGGGCATTGCCAGATCCAGGCCTTGGAAACATGCCACCTGCGACCTTTGTGTCACCTTCTTCACCCGCCTCAAGTTTCCAGGGTTGGTCCTGCTGAGTCAGCCGGTCCCTCCTGTCCGTGGTCAGTTTGCTGGTCGCAGGCTGCTGGTGCTTCTCTGTTCAGGGACAGATGGTTCCCTCTGTGGCGAGTGAACCTTCATCCTGGCTGCTAGGAACACTCAGGCACGACTTCTGGACGTGTGTCTACCACTCTGGTAAATACATGGGTGCACGGGTGGGTGGAGTGGCGTGGCCGTGGTCAACCCGCAGCCGACTCCGGAGACCTGCCGGCGGCTCTCAGAACCACTGCACCGCTTTCCAGTCCCACCCCAGCGCACACGCTCACCAACGCTCGTTAGTTATTTAAACGATTTTTAATTTTAAAAAAATCTAAAATGTATTTCTATTATTATTTTCTGGTGCCAGGGATTAAACCTAGGCTTAACTGTTGAGCTGCATCCCAGCCCTTTAAAACAAGATTTATTTCTTTTAAAATTTGAGATGGGGTCTCACTAAGTGGCTTAGGGCCTCAATAAGTTGGTAAGACTGGCCTCAACTCTTGATCCTCCTGCCTCAGCCTCCTGAGCTGCGGAGATGACAGGCGTGTGTCCCTGCTTTGCCAGCTAGTTTTTAGTATAACCTCCTAGTGATCACGAAGCAGCAGTCACTGGGCTCTTCTTTGCATTTTCCTAATGATCCAGGTTGAGCACCTTTCCATGGGCTAGTTGCCGGTGGCACATCTTGTCTGGGAAAGTGGTCACTGCAAATCCTTTGGTTATTTTCTCATTGGGATATATATATATATATATATATATATTTAGTTGTCTCATTGTCATTTTTGGGGTAGTTTTTAAACAACTATATTCTGGATTTGACTTTTTGTTAGATACGTGATTCCCACATATTTCTCCTCCCCAGGAGAGCTGGGCAGGCCCGAGGAGGGACTCCCCAGGAGAGCTAGGCAGGCCCCAGGAGGGACGCAGGCGACAGCAAATGGCCTCACCTGCTCAGTCCCCAGCTCCACTCTGTCCTCGGAAGCCTCAGGGCTTACTCTGTTGGTCCCTGTGCCCTGGCACCTGAGGCCTGAGAACAGATGCCCCCAGCCCACGGGCCCTGGGCTGATACCTAAGATGACACATTATATGACTCGACCTTCCAGAACGTTCCTGCCCTGGGAGATAAAAGGCAAGGAACCTTATTGTTTCAGGGGCTTCCTGGCCACCCGCTTCCCTGAGCAGGGAGATGGCCAGTCCTCACTGGGTGTGCTGCTCACATAGGAGGTGACCGTTGGCTTCTTGTCACGGCCCGGATCTGGCATGTCCTGGAGGCTCAGGTGTTGCAAGCTTGGTCCCCAGTGCATCAAGGCTCAGGAGCGAGCTTTCAGGCCGAGGCTGGGTCTGACCTCTCCAGTGGATTAATCCACTTGATGAATAGACCCACTGACAGCTGGATGGACTGCCGGAGGGGGACCCAGCTGGAGGAGAGGGTGGGGGATGTGCCCTGGGCCGACTCACCACCTTCCAGCCGCTGCCTCCTTCTGCTGCCCAGCTGCCCTGAGTGGACAGCCCTCTCCTGCTGCGCACGTCCCCCATGGTGTCCCTGCCTGAGCCAGTCAGCCAAGGACTGCAACTCGGAACCAGAGCCAGAGGGGCCTTCCTCTCTGTCGCTCTCGCCAGGGATCTTATTCACGGCAGCCACGGCTGACCCACGCCAGGGCAGGTGGACGCCCCTTCCTTTTGAGTGTGGTTCTGCTGTGCCATGGACGTCCCTGCCCTGGTCTCTGCATTGAAATTGCTGAAACCACCCAGACCCGGCCTTGCCCTCACCGTGGCCGCCTCCTTCCCGGACACCTCAAGGCTGTCCAGGGGGCGCCTGCTGGCCGGGCTCTGTTTGCTCCCGGGCTCACCTGGCCATGGCCGGGTCCCTCAGGAGGGGTGGGGCCCTGACA